ATAGTACGTATAGTATAATATATATATATTATATATATATATATATATATATATATATATATATATATATATATATATATATATATATATATATATACATATATATATATATATATATATACATATATATATATTTATTTTTATAGATAGATAGATAGATATATATATATATGTATTTTTACGTACATGCACACACATACACAATATATGTATACATATTCTGTCCTGATTCGATACTCCCATTTCCTTCTGTTGTATGATATGTTTTAGGTATGTAATGGTCTTGCTTTAATATCCCCAGGCACACAAACGCGGTTTATCATTTATATTTATTTAATAACCGCAATCCATCGTTCATATATTGGTAAAGGCTGTGAGTTGGTTATATATATCAGTATGGGCTTTAAGTTGCATGCATGTATTGGTAAAGGCTGTAAGTTGGTTATATATCTTTAGAAGTTTTAAGTTGCATATATATATATATTGGTAAATTCTGTAAGGTGGTTATATATATCGGTAGAGGCTGTAAGCTGCATATATATTGGTAAAGGCCGTGAGGTGGTTATATATCGGTAGTGGCTGTAAGTTGCTTATATATATATTAGTAAAGGCTGTAAGGTGGTTATATATATCGGTAGAGGCTGTAAGTTGCCTATATATATTGGTAAATTCTGTAAGGTGGTTATATATATCGGTAGAAGTTTTAAGTTGCATGCATGTATTGGTAAATTCTGTAAGGTGGTTATATATATCGGTAGAGGCTGTATGTTGCATGCATGTATTGGTATAGGCTGTATGTTGGTTATATATATCGGTAGAAGTTGTAAGTTTCACATATATATATATATATTGGTAAATTAAGCAAGTTGGTTGTATATATCGGTAGTGGCTGTAAGTTTCTAATAAATTATATACTGTGGCTGTTACCCATTGGTTATGCCAGTCAGAAAGCAGTACTATTACTTTCGTGATTCCAGCGGGTTATCCCTAAGCACGTCATCGTTCGGGTGTCCGAATACAATCAGACTGGTGTGCACCTCCGCGGACATAAATGGACTGAGTTCTGAGTTTCAATACATGTCCCTGTGGCTACACACTATAGAATTGTCCTCACTGCACCTGCCCTTAAAATATTGGGGCAGGTATCGTTATGGGTCAGACTGTTCCCGATCCATCTGTTTATTCGGACCATGCCTCAGTTGATAGGTCGCGCACTCTAAACGGGGCTAAACAGTTCGGTACTTGACGTTCGTTTGTTTACAACAGAGTGCCGGAGAGATCATCCAACGGGCGAAGCGGTCTAGCGAGTGCATTTGCGTTACCAAAGCCAATATGAATGGGTACGCGTTTAACGGCGTGGGGAAGGTAGGTGTCTGGGCACCAAAGGATATGGTGGAACGTTTTAGGCAGCAAAGTGCTCATGCCAGTACCACACAACTAAACGGCAAAACATAACCCAATAACACGATCACTATAGCAAAAGCCAAGAACCCAATCACAACCAGGCAGCACGAATACACCGCAAGACACACTACAGACACTCTGCCAACTGCATCAGCGCAGCCCAACGAGAGACTCGCGAGTGCCACAGTCAACAGATCAAACACAACCACAGCCCCAGCATACGCATCAGTGGCATAGCCAGGCGAACGATGGCACAGACCTAGCACAGAAGTACGTGGGTCATTCTACATGGAACAGGATTACGCGGCACATCCTAAATGATACAGAATTATGCGACACATCTTAGTTGAAACAGGGTTATGCGACACATCCTAGATGAAACAGGATTATGTAACACATAAATGAAACAGAATTATGTACTGCTGCGGTTGGGACTGCGGCGTGGTTGCAAAGGAATAGACTGCTCATGCATAGCCCAGTAGACACAGCTGAGTGTGTGTACACTAGTAGCAAGACGGGGTGTATGTGTAGCATTGCCACTGGTTAGTCATGTATACGATTAGTGGTAGGCGACTGAGTATAAGGTCACATACGATTGTATCTCACAAACCTGTGAAGCACGGGCTATGGTGCGACAACTCTTGCCTAGGGTTGCCATGGCGACGGATGAGCGTATTACCCTTACAGACAGCGTAGTGTGCGACTGCCGGAGTGACTAGGCACGGGTCTGATTGAGGGGACATGGAGCGTTGGACCACTCCCCCACTGTTTGTACTGAATAGAGTGCGCGAGTGTTCAGCTTCAGTTTGACTGTGTGGGTTGGTGACGGATTCGGTAGTGGGCGGCAGACAAGTTTATGTAGCAGCTGTACATTCCTTGTGTATATGAAAGAGGACAGGGCACACCAAAACACTACAGAGCTCAACAGGCGCCCAGAAAGGCATCGGACGAAGGAAAAGGGAAAGGGGTGCACGGGTGCGACTGTCCTGATTGTGGCTACGAGTGGTCTACTCAACCGCTTTGTTTGCCCTGGTTCGTCTATTCTGTGTTGTGTACTTATTTCTCGCTGATCACCTAGAACGTCGACTCAAAAGCACGAGGACAGGCGGATGTGACTGAAAACGCTATATATGGGTGCAGAGATGCTGTGTGACCAAAAAGAAAACGAGGACAGGTTGATGTGTCCAGGAAACATATAAATGGGTGCAGAGATGCTGTGTGAGCGGAACGCCTGGGACAAAAATTGTGGGGCTGGGATTGGCCAAATGTGCATGAGTGAAACACCTAAGCACTTACTGGGAAGACTATACACGAGGATAACAATGATACCGAACAGCCAGAATGTAGTGAAGATGTGCCATGGAATGATCCGTACAGTGGACTGCTGCGATCAAGACAAGCAGAAGAAAGCACTGAGAAACCGGTACAATGCCAATGCTATAACTGAGCCCCAGGAACAGGCGAAGCGCGTCTGTATACAGTGCACATGAGTGGCTGGGACAAATAAAGTAGCGTCCAAATGTGTTCAGGACAGGACAGGGTGCGCATGGTGAGGTGCAGGGCGAATTAGTGTAGCACAGGCCTTAGTGTCATGAGGCCGCGCATGGCAGTAGACAACCAATTAAATCACACTTAACAAGCTCGTTCCTCGGCCATATTTGGAAAGATACTTTGCAACAAGCTGCTATAACTTAGATCGTGGCTCATGCTTAGAGACTCCCATGACTTGTGTGTGGTACTCACAGTGATAGGGTTGTCGTGGTCCCTTCCGTAGCATTGCCAGTTATTGGACGTGTCACCAAGTTGTGTTATCTTTTCTTGGTGTAACTGCCTGATTGCCAGGCATCACCATAGCAACAAGTCCGGCCCATTGAATGTGTGCGTGTACAGTACAGTTTGAAGGACTTCGGTGGCATAACACTTCGCGCCAATACAGTAGGTACAATGCAATGCAAATCCATATGGTAGCGTCACCTGAGTAGTGCGGTTTTATTGGCTTATCCACACTCATCGCACTAAAACTCTACCATCACATCCCGCGGATGAATGCTAACGATAACTGCTACGCTGCTTGTTATGTAGCGGTCAAGGTCATCAAAAGGACCTCTTTAATGGGCCGCACCGGCTTTCTCGGCATCCTTGTGGGCTGTAATACAAAGGAGTGGTGGAAATCGAGTGAGATTTGGATCACCACGGTACTTTTTTTTAACGGTACGGAACAGTCTGAGCATTTTGACGCAAAGCATGTGTGTATCGTGGATGTTCATGCACGACACCAAACGCACAGGTGCCATATGCAAGAGTAAATAATGTTTGTATTAGAGTCACACATACTGCATCACAGTCAAAGATACATTCCCATACGCTGCATACACAGATAACTCAAAGATACATTCCCATACGTTGCAAACACGGATAACTCAAAGGTACATTCCCATACGTTGCATACACGGTTAACAATCATGCATCCACCAACCATAGCTCCACCAAAGAGTATTCCAAATGTAGGTGGCCGGTTGGAGGTGTATGTCCGAACCAGTGAGGCATAGCAACCACAGTCCACCGGTATATGGGTTAGGACAGCGCACTCTTGGTAATGACCTCCGGCCGATAGGCAGTCTGGTAGCTACAAAGACCATGCATATATATATGTATATACATACATACATGCATATATATATGTATATACATACATACATGCATATATATATGTATATACATACATACATGCATATATATATGTATATACATACATACATGCATATATATATATAGCAGTGGAGCGTACACACCAAAAGCAAACAGCCCCGCACGGGACATACCTTTGAGATGAGGGTACTCCAAGGCATAGCCTGTGATCAGCAAGAAGGCAGCCACGTGGAACACCGGGTTGATCTTTCCAGACCTGATGTACCGTGAACTGTGGGTGGACAAACAGCACGAGAAGATAAGCCAGAGTGTGGGGTACAGAGAATGAGCCAGAGTGTAGGCTAGAAGGGATACGGGACTGGTCCAGTCGCAGTGAATATACTGTGAAGCGCACCTGTGCCCTAAGCAAAACGGACCGCAGAGACGCGGCACGTATGGGACAAGGGCTCAGGCAACAGTGCAAGCGAGCGATCGGAGTGTGAGGTAACGTGCTGCGTGCTAAGAAATGGACAACTACACGTGCTGCGTGCTAAGAAATGGACAACTACACGTGCTGCGTGCTAAGTAATGGACAACTACACGTGCTGCGTGCTAAGTAATGGACAACTACACGTGCTGAGTGCTAAGTAGTGGACAACTACACGTGCTGAGAGCTAGGTAATGGACAACTACACGTGCTGAGAGCTAAGTAATGGACAACTACACGTGCTGAATGCTAAGTAAAGGACAACTACACGTGCTCAGTGCTAAGTAGTGGACAACTTCACGTCCTGAGAGCTAAGTAAAGGACAACTATGGTCCGCCCTAAGAAAACAGGGCAACCGTGCACGGTGTGGCGGACACTGAACGGACGTGAGTGTGTGCTAGCATGAATGGTCAGCAACCAGCAACCAATTGCAATGCACATGCAGAGGCACCTTCACACCAACTTACGGCTTACGAGAATATAAGTACTTGGTGCTTACTAGAATAAATAAACCTCAGCACTCACACCCGGAGATATAGTTCGCCACAGATAGTATCGTTAGAATGCCGCCTCTCTCCGATAAAACTATCGTGTGTGACAGCTGAGAGAAGACATCTGCATCCCTTGCCTTGTAGTTATGCGCACATAATGCCACACCACCAGCAAAGTATAAAACAAGTCCCCTCAAACGAGTGAGATCACACAAGACAGCAGAGCACATACCCGTAAGCGCTGAGTAGACCTACAACGGCAGCCAGCGATACACACACAGAGAGATATATTCGGTGTCCAGATAGTCGCACGTATTGGGATACAACAGAGAAACGGTTGAGTTCAACAGGTGCGAGATGTGCGTAGGTATAGTGCCAGAAGTAAGATTGTATAGTACCAGAAGTGACATTGTATAGTGCCAGTAGTAACATTGTATAGTACCAGAAGTAATATATACAATCATTTTAATCCTCTACCGGTATAGGTCTGGTGGTCAGGCTTACCTACAGCCAGATGTACAGTGCGATTTAGCAGAAACAACCAGTACACAGGAGTGTAGCGCGAATTGGGTATAGCAATAAAGTAAGATAAAATAAGGAGTTCTCCCCTTAAATCGGTGTTACTAGAATTACTCAGGCTAGCAATACTTGAAGAACAAATTGGCACCATAAAATGTACATCGCTCCATGTATATTGATATAACGTATAAAAACAAGAACAGGCCCGTGTCGATTGAAGTAGATATGTATCAGTATATCATTATATCACTATGTATAGCTATGTACAAGCATATACATATACTACACAAACATACACATTTACATACATTAATATACGCACGCACACACACACATATATACTTAAAATACAAATATATACACATTACTTGCATACATATATACAAATAAATATATGTATATATATATATCTATATATAAATACAGACATATATGTATGGATGTATGCAAAAAATGTATGTATGCATATTTATATGTAGGTATATGTGCAAGCATAAAAACATATATTTATTAAACATATCCATATTATATATATATATATACACATATACATATTATACGTATATATATATTTATATATATAAATCTATATCCATATATATATATGTATATTTATTATATACATATATATATATATATTTGTATATTTATTAGATACATATGTATATATATTTATTATGCATATCCATATTATAAATATTATATTTAATATGTATATATATATATATACATATATACATATTATATATATATACATATATACATATATATATATATACATATATATATATATATACTACACACACACACACACACATATATATA